GAATTTCGATTTCGTGGAGCAAGAATCTAATCCTTCTCGATTTTAACATACACGAACAAACGGAGAACTTACTACAACGGTTAAAAATGCCTAACAAATAACGTACTGTATGATTACGTGTAACTCGAAGAGCATTTGAATACCCGATCTTTTAGAGTTTTCTCATTGGAGAGATTTTCCGTAAGAGAACCGTACTGCCGTGTACTGAATTTTTCTAAACATTAACTAGACTTGAGGTGCCTTTGCCGCCACCATTTTTATACCCGAAAATTACAGTAAAAAGAGTGGTGGGAATGAAGGTTACGCAGTTCCGAAGACCGACTATGTTGGGTATACGCATCCAACTCTGTTCCGACCGTAACAGGTTTAGGGGAAACAAAATCTTTGACAAGGCCTACCGTGGAGGGAATGTCGTGGTAAATAATGGTAACTCGACTTTCTTCTCGCTCTTCGATAGTGACTCGACGTTATCGCAATGCCAGAATAGCTTTTGTACGTTCACGATAGCTGTTACACGACTAGAAGCGAGAGAATATGTACGTTGGAAATCAAATGGAAAAGCTTTCTTGCTTTCTGTCATCCGAAGCTACGATACCGTTCTTTTTTTTTTTTAAACTGAACGAATTTTATAACTATTTGTCTTTCTTTCTATGCTTTCATAATTGCCAAATGCTAAATATGTATAATGTGTTTTTTTTTCTTAGCTATCTGAGATTCTTTAAAGAAAAATGCTTATTGTTTTATTTATCTTCAACTTGTCTGAACTGTTAAAATTGTGAAATTATGCTTACATTTATTTAATCAATATAGTATCCGTTTCTGTAAAAAAATTGACATGCAGTTTTTCACCAATGGGTGAAACTGGAAGAATAGCCAATCAATCGGTTATAAAAAAAAAGATAGAGAAGTGAAGTTACGTTAAAATAGCTAAGTTTTAACTGAACACCACTTATATACATATAATAGAAACAGAAAAACATACTATACTTTTCAACAAATACAGCAGTTCTTTCCAGTGAAATATTTTGAAAAAATCGAAATACGTACTACAATACCTTAACAACGTTAATAAGGAGAAGGAATATAACGTCAATAATTCCATATCGTACTTTATTTTGCCTCAAAGGTAAATTACTGATGAAACCATAAGATGTGAAAATCATTACAGGGGCGAATTAAAGGGACAACAAGTAGAGAAATAACAAAAATTTATATAAATATATGAGCTGCTCATCTGTTAAATCAATTAAGTTCACAAAGCAGAAAATAAAGAAATTAATAAAATATAGAAAGGTAGATATCAATCAAGTGTTTTGACACTTAAATTTTAAGAACTCAGAAGTGGAGTTGACTGCTTTGGTCTGTAAACGGCTCATAAGGTACATACATAACAGGCCCAGTGGTTAGATCAGTGGTTCCCAAACTTTTTTTACTCGAGGCGCACTTTACAACAAATGAAGAAATTTCGGCGCACCTATTATATACAGTGGGTGATCAAATTTATTAGAGCCACTCACATAAATTGATGATTTTACATAAAAATGATTAATTCTTAAATGAAAACCGAATTAAACAGAGTTTTTGTTACTTTTTTATGATTGTGAAGTTATGATACACAGTTGAAAAAAGTGAAAGTTCTTGATTGGCCTGGAAATCCTCTGGACCTCAACCCCATCGAAAATTTCTGGGAACATTTATTATTAATAATGAATGTCAATTGATTAAACATCTGATAAAAGTATGAGCCAGCAGTAAAGCAATCAAAATGAGTTGCTTAAATTGCATCGAAAGTACGCCGAAAAGAATTGAGGCAGTAATTGCAGCAAAAGGTGGCGTTACGAAATACTAACATACATCTGTAAATATAATCTTTTAAATGTATTTGTTTATTTTTATAAGTATCTTTTTGTATATTAATAGTAGAGGATTATTGATTAAAAGTTACACAATGTAAAAACCTTAAAATTGTGGCTCTATTTCTACACAAACATTGAAAAACCCACTTTTCATACCATGACTCTAATAACACTGTGCAACAAATTTTAACTTTTTTTTGTGTTCCGGTTCCCACTAGGTGATTCTTATAGTGTTTTACGTCAACCTCATTGCAACATGATGTAATCAACTTCTACTAACATAAGAAAAAGAAATATTAAACAGACTATAAAGAAATATGGGTACTACTTAAATGAGATGCAGTCGCTGAAGATCGTGGTAGTCGATGCGACTTGAACCACCACACAAAAAAAATGAGAAAAAAACTACTGAATATTCTCAGGATCAAATTGAAAGCTTAAGAATGATATCTACAAAATTACTTGGAAGTATTCCGCATAAAAATTGTCTCCTAACACAGTATTCACAAGAAAAGAAAGCGACGAAAACTGCACGAGTTGATGTCCATGGAAAGTTTGGCTACAGAGAAAACGCCATTGGCTAAATCGATAAACATCAGAAAGCTTTAGCCATACGACTACATTGAAAAATGTTTTGCTTCAAGGCTTCCGTCAGATTCGAGTTAAAAAAATCCTTGTAAAAGTTGCTTTTCAGGGATCGCAGAGCTGGTGCTCATGGAGATAAGGTTCTTTCTTACGAATAAAAATGCCTATGTTGCACTGTGATAGATTCCCTGTTCCATTCATTCCATCAGTGATATTTCACCCTATTCCATGTGTGTAACGGTTTTCTATGAACTTCCTCATTGTAATTCATCGGTATCATACCTAATTTGTTTGACAGTGGTGTACTGTAGCACGAATTATAGATTAGTTTGTTCTTTTATTATATCATACGAAAATGATTTTCTAGATAAATTGAACGGTAATTATGTACTTATTTAGAAGTACGATCTCATCACCAACTTCAATAACTTAGAAACATGTGTAGGCGTTTAGTGGAGGGGGAGAGGAGGGTTTCATCTCCCCGGACGCCTTTAGTTCGGGCCGAGAACTGCTAGGTGGCGGCGAGATGATGTAGTGTTCTCGCAAGCGGATCTGATAAAATCAGATCTGGTAGATTGTGAATGATACAATAATTAACCAGTTAACTGCGTTCGACGTGTATACACGTCAATCCAAAACTTTATTTCGGCGCGGTCGACACGTACACTCGTCGTGTAAAATAAAAAATTACTATTTATTATAAAAAATCCAAATTTCAAGAAGAAGTGATAAAAATGTTATTTTGTACGTTTCCTTTATATTACCCATAAAACTGCTATGTATTTTATAAAAAAAAGTTTCATTATTCTCTTTGGTATATCGCACATTCCTTGTACAATGTATTACTTTTTACAAACTGAAATGATTATTTTCCCAAATGCATCTGGTATTCTCCGCATTGTTTTGTATACTTTACTGTATATTTTAACTTCTTAAAATGATTTTTTTCTTTATATTTTCCTGTTTATCAATTTTATTATTTTTTGACAATTTCTAAGTTTTTAATAACAATAACCTTTTCAACAATGAATTGTTAATTTTTTATGGAATATAAATATAATCCTTCCCCGTTTTACTCTTTTCGTAAAAATAATAAGAGTATTTGCGTTGCGTTCGACGTGTATACTGGTCATTGCTTGATTTTAATTACGCAAGCTGTGAGGGATTTCTAAAACTTTCGCAGTTAACTGGTCAAGTTGCAAAATGGGAAAAATTGTGAAAGTGAATAGATTTTCATTACGTTCGTGCGTGTGCAATTTCCATCGCTGTGTGTATTAACACAAGTCTCTGAAACCAATTTTGTTGTGTATAGCTTGCCTCGAGGTCTTCCAAGCAGTTTCAATGATGTATAATAAAAGTCATGCACGCGATTTTCGAATGAAAGGAGAACTGAAAGGAAAATGTTTTACAGATGTGAAAGAGATTAAACTGAAAATTACGGAGGCGTTAAAGGATATTAAAGTTGAAGAGATCCAGAACTACTTTAAAAACTGAAACGAAAACATTGGGATAAATGTAGTACGTCTAATGGGAAATACATTGAAGGTGATTAAATTATGAAAGTCTTTTATTGACAATACACGATTTCTAAAACCGTAATTTCAGCTTCTTTTGGATATTCCTCGTATAGAGGATGTTTACTGTAACCGTGTGCACGATTTTTGAAGTATTTCCAATAATTTAAGAGAAACATGTTTCAAATATAATTGAATCTGTATCAGACAGCTATGAATTGCAGTACTCAAAATTGCCAAAATATGTCCTTTTTTAAATATAAAGTCAAGGTCACCTTGGTCTTTTTTAAATAACATAATGTAGGCGTTTAAGTGAAGGGGGAGAGAAGGGTTTCGTCTTCCCGGGCGCCTTTAGTTCGGGCTGGGAACCGCTAGGTGGCAGCGAGATGATCGGTGACAGTGTTCTCGCAAGCGATCGCCCGGCATGCAGTTCAAATTGCAGAAGTTCCGAATTGCAGTATGATAGGTGTCTGGGGCAGGGATCGTCTGTTATCAGCCCCACTGACGAGTCTGACAGACATCCCGAGATGAAAAAACGCCTTTTTCTCCCCTCTCCTATAATAATATATTTTTGAGTTCATTACATTGAAATGCTACATTACATTGTAGCTGATATCAAAACGAATTTAACGACTTATAATATCCTAGCCTTGGGATAACGTTGTCTTCAATAACCAACTTAAATTCACAATAAAAGTCTGCTTTATCGTATGGTATAATTCGATTTTACGCTGCATACCTACTTTTTTAGATAAATTGAGAAATATCCTAAAAAGTTGGTCCCCTCGGATCAAATCGGGGTCCCTCGGTGTTCAATAATAATTGTTTAAACACACTTAAACATTTATAATGTATTAAAGATGGGTATCGTTGTATTCAGAAAAGTCTACAGAAACTTTTAGTGTAAACAAAATTTCAGTATCTTTTATAGTTATGCCAGAAAATTTGTTTAAATATGAAAAATATGTTTTTTATTCAAAATCAAATTTCTCAAAAACTGTACGTATAAGAACAGAACGATTTATAGATTCGTAATCAGCACACTAAACATTTTAAGAAACATGTAGTAATAATCAGAACGTTGAAAAAAAGATTGAAATTTGTTGGACTCTTCCGGCTACAACCAATCAGACTTGCATTTCCAATTCCGAGAGGTCATTATTTAAGTTTATCTTCTAAAATACTCATTTAAACATTTTTTTTATATAAAAATGACAAGTAATAATTAAGGATTGTATGATATCGGTATAAAGTAGACGAAAGTTTATTCAAATTTAGTGACCAATTTTCCGACTATAAAAAATCATTTGGTTACGTGAAAGGACAGTGACAGTTTTACAAAGTGCTCCCACTTTCGCTGTTCCCAGGTTCCTGATCTAAGTCATCTCGATCAATGATTTTACAGTCGTCAGAATCACTTTTACTGCTTCCGTTGTCGTCGTCTTCGTTGTATGAATATTTCGGTTGCAGATAATGCGACTGTTGTTTCTGTTGGCTGCAATTTGGAGAAACTGATCTTTTACTAGATTTTCTATCATTCTTATATTTACATTCTTGACGGGCTGGTGTTTTCCTTTTTACTGAAAAATTAATTTCATTTAATTGCTCCTTTATTTTTCTAAGAAGTAAGAATAAATTCTATTAAAACTGTATAGCGAAGTCTTGTATAATGAAAAGAGTTCATTTTCTTTATAAGTTAGAAGAAATTTGAAATTATGGAATTTATAAAAATGTTTTATATTTCTGTATTAGTTGTAATAAAATCGAGTAAATATTCATAAAACGGGAGCCATCTCCGATTTTAATAATTGAAAGTAGTATCAATACAGTAGTATTATAAAGTAGTAGTAGTAGGCCTGACTAGTATTGTGAGAAGTTTAGTTGACAATCGCCATTTAGTAAATCGAATAATTTTTTTTACTTTTCTCACTAACGATATAATCTAATGCTATTTGTCGGATTGAGCTACAATTTTTTTTTTGTTCAAAGGATTGGGCTATTATCAAATAATGTTTTTAACCTCGATATTTAACTTCATAATGTCGAAAAATGTAAACAAACTCTTTTCTTGCGTCCTTTTCGATGATGAGGTTGAGTGGTTTGAATTTTGAAAAAAATATAGTCATATTCCCTGAAGTTTCCCCGTCAAAATGAGCTTTTTGGAAGGATGGAGGTTTGAAAATTGGCGTTACAATGATGTTTCTTCGATCGCGTAGAAACTGGTGTTGTATATCACCGCGCGGGATATTGTAAAATTATTTTTCGTCGCGTTCAATTACGACGTAAAATTGCCGGTCAGCAATGTGTTAAATGGTGCATTGCCGACTAAAATCGGCTCAAGGGCATTTTTGACCATCTTATCCTGCTACAGTATAGACTCGTTATAAGCTAAAAAGTTCTATACGATATTTGCAAAGAAACCATCCCCACCACTGGGGGGTATACCCCTCGAGACGTCGCGAAGCTCGCTCGCCGAGTAGCGTAACATGATCCTGGATCAGATATCGGTGAGGCAACACTAATGCAACAACCTAACTTTGCTATTTTTCAGTTTTTTTTTATAGACCTTTTTCCATGATATTTCTGACATTTTTCTAATTAAAATGATACCAAACACGATATAATTCGGACCATATTTACCATGTAAACTAGTTACAACCAAACGCACGGGACCGGACTTTTGCCTATAATGTGTAGTTCCACTATTGTTTGATGTTAGCCGACTGCTTCGAACGTAGAAAAGGACCTTGAGTGCAAAAGAGGACGGAGCGAAAACAAACCGTTCTATGTCGAAGCAGTCGGCAAATATCAAACAATGGTGGAACTACACGTTATAAGCAAAAGTCCGGTCCCGAGCGTTTTGCTTATAACGAGTCTATACTGTATATCCTTTACTAGTTAGGTATAGAACGTGTTAAATTATGTAGGCGTTTACTGGAGGGGAGAGGGTTTCGTCTCCCTGGACGCCATTAGTTAGGACCGGGGACCGCTAGGTGGCGACGAGAGATCGGTGACAGTGCTCTCGCAAGCGGTCACCCGACATATGGTTCGAATATATAGAAGTTCCGAATTGCGGTATGAATTTAAAATATCAAAGTGGAGAATATACATTCAGAAGAGAAATCACTCATATTCTAATTTCATAAGAAATATTATTCATTATGATTGAATCTATTAATAAGTAAGTGTGTAATAATATTTCAATAATAGTTTCAAACTAAAGAAATACTTTGCAGACTACTTCTTTTTTCAGATACATCGTATAGGTCAGGCCTGTCCAAGTAGGGGAATCCACTCCTGGAACACATGTTTTGGGTCCCCTTCCAACGCTGCTCCTTCAAGTAGACGGAGATGGAGAGACGGTAGTCGGAACCGTCCCATCTTACTTGAAGGAGCAGCGTTGGAAGGGGACCCAAAACATGTGTTCCAGGAGTAATTTCCCCTACTTGGACAGGCCTGGTATAGGTAGATACGTACTACTTGTGCGCTTACGGATTCTTACCTTTAACCTTTTTGTCATCGCAGTAGTTTCTATTCGGTGGAACTGAGTAGTTCGTTCGACCCTTTCGTCTCGCGTTGCTTCTTTCATGGTTAGACAAAAATCTACAGGCGTTTCTGATATTCGGTTTGATTCTCCTATCGGAACTGTTATATCGCGGTAACCGCTCCTCTTCTTCTTTTTCTTCATACTTGAGTTCCCGCATTCCTTTCGAATGTTTCAGTGGATTATGGCGTCTTCTGGATTCACTTCGTCTTGTTCGTCTTCTCTGCCTGCTCTGGCTGCGTTTCCGTTTCCTCTTGTAATGTTGCTTATCACGTTTCTCTCTGTACGATTAAATGAACACTATTTATTAAATTAAATGTTATAAAATTTGCTTAATTTTCTTAATATCTGGTCTTGCAAATTCATTATCGTTGTTCACGACTATAAATTGTATGTATTAATATTAATTTAAGCTCTGTATATTGGTCACGTTGGAACGAAATTTTCTTTTTCCCTTGTTCATAAATGAATGTTAGTATCTGTATTTTGCAAAATTTTGTTATGCATTTTTACATATTCTTCTAATTGTATGATGAGTGAAAAAAGTATTGACGTAAACAGATCCCGACTTAATTTCGTCATTATAAAATAATTATGGGTCGGTGTGAAATACAGGGTGTTTGACAACAGGTGGGAGATTTTTTAAGGGATGGTTATGCCGTCCCGCGGGACGTCTTGTCATCGGTGGACAGTACTATTGACCGATGAGAAATTGACGAGCGGGACGGCACAGGGGCATAGGGAGCACTTTGCACCCTCCGCCCTGTCCCCACGTTTGATCCTCGCGTTCAAAGTTTGCCGCAACGCTGACTTCGTACCATCTCGCTTTGTCGCGAAGTCTCATTTTTCTTCATTGTCAGGCGACGCGATTAGTGTATGCTCGCATCGGCCAATAGCGCGCAACGATCTAGAACGCGTGTGCGTGAGGCGTGACTTATCGACGACAACCAATCGTACCCGCATTCCTTAGCCTCGTCAACACCTCATCGGTCAGTAGTACTTAGGTACCGCTTTTCACATGAGCACCCGCGCTTCAAACCAAATATATGATCGAGTATACAATGTAGATTATGAGTATACATATAATCCTATCGAAATTGCAACGCAAGATTGTTGGATTTCTAATGGGACAGTAAAAGACGCGATTTCCATTTCAAACCTGTATTGAGATAATTTTGATACTCTCGATCATTACATCTGGTTTCTTTTGGACCTGTATCACAAGTGTTTTAGCTCTATATCTGAACAGTACAGATAATCAACCAACTAACAAACCTGTTTTTCTCTTTGTCATCGGAGCTGATTTTCTTAGGAGATGGTTGCGTGTTGAATCTGCTCGTTCCTTTCACTAATCTTTCGTCATTATTTTCATTCACGAGCTGTTTAAGTGGAGCAGGATTTAACGTGAACAGTGCCTTGTAACGACCACTTCTGTGCCGTAGAAGTCCAGCATTTACTGCATGCTTCAGAGCTCGATGAACCTAGAATATTGTTTCTTAAAAAACGGAAAAGGAGAATATCTATGGATACGTATATGTATTGTTCTATTTTATATTCTATTTTGAATTTTAATTTAGTGAGGTTGAATATAAAAGATGTAATTAACATAAAGCCATTTCACATCGATCACTTTTTGACATTAATATAAAAGATCCGTTCTGAATGCAATGTAATGAAACTACTACGTGACGTGGATGGGGGGAGGGGTATTTGGACCTCTAGAATCACACTTAAAATTATTTTGCCACCTGGTGTGGCATAACTCCTGTATAACAGTTATTGCCAGTTATTTTCGAAACCGTTTCAACTGTATTCATAGTTTTTAAATTTTGAAACCAGTTCTTATCTATTGTTCGGCAATAGTGAGAAGTTTCTCTGAGATTTGACGTGGTTGATATTCTCACTTCAGGTAAAAAATGGCGAGTCCGGAAGTCCAAAAATAGATTTTCAGGAAGGTTTTTCAATGCTAGTTTCATAACTGGTATTCTTTCTATTCTAGGACGAAGTTTTTTTTCTAAAATTTTTTGGTTTTTCGTCATTTTACCCAACTTCCGGTCTAGACTGGAAATCGAGTCACGGGTCCTTTTGTAACGTTTTTTTTACTGATTCTAAATATCACATTGATTTTAAGATTTGACATGATCAGTACCGGTCAGTACCAGACATGGTCAGTCACTTCCGGTCAGAAGCGGAAGTCCAAAACCCTTAAACGCACGGTTTCAGGCCATGGGGAACATTATAGCGAAATGCGTATCCGTTTATCTCTTATCGTTTTTGCCCCACAGAACGACGGAAAGACAGACAGACAGGTTATTGTCGATAAGTGAGCCTTGTGGAGTTCATCACCCGCTTTGCCGTTCCCAAGCTTTTGCTTATACCGGCGGTGGTATTTGCGCTAAAAAAATAAATCCGCTCCCCAGCAGCCACCACCCTCCAAGTGGGGTACGTCGTTTTCGGGTACGGAAGACCCAACACTTGACTAGTTATCGGCGTAAAGAATGTTGATATTGGGACGAAAAAGCTAACCTGAGTGGGTTAACCCACCAGGCGCCTTACGCCCGTAGACAGACACATCGGATAACCTATAGCAGCATTGGGAATTAAGTGCTCTTTTTTTTTAGTTAGTTTTCAGAGGCTACACCCCTTTCATTTCACCGCTCGCCGTGCCCCGCGAGAGGGCCCTAGTCCTCGAGACACCTTAGGCGCGTGCCATATGAACTTTCCAGAGCTACATTGGGGCTACACCCGTATCAATAGGTTTCCACATCACCCATAGGGTACGATTCATACGGCACGCACCTAAGGTGCCTCGAGGTCTATGGCCTTCGCGTGGGGCACAGCAAGCGGCGGGAGAAAAGAAGCATAGCCTCTGAAAACTGGCCGAAAAGAGCAATTCATTCCCAACGCTGACCTATAGGAAAGAAACTTCAAGAGAAATAGTCTGACGGGATTTAATAACGTAAAAGTATTGCAGAATACTATTTATGCCAAATCTACTTGAAATTTAAAGTTCGATGAAAATGTTTCACAACAAACTGTCATTAATGTTTCTATGGGGGTAATGGACAGGTTGGCTGGTTTTCGTCAGCGAAGTCAAGGTGAACGTTTTGGGCCACACGGCTCGCGTACCCTTAGAAGGTATTTTCGTTTATAGGAGAAAACCCAAACTTTCTCCTCCGACCGTGGAGGGAAACTTTCTTGTTGACGGGCCTGCCTGGCACCCCCTTAAAATGGAAGGTATTCTGTCAGGCGCATTAGCTGGTGCTGGTCGAGTACAAACTTGGATAACGTCGCGTAATAAATACTTATTAACGAAATATAGTGGCATTTATTCACTCACCCTCGTCATCACCTCATTTGTAATACCTACAAAATGAATGCAAACCGTATATCGGAGTGATATTCCTGTACTGTAAAGCCTCTCACATTATCTGTAAGCTGGAAAATGAAAATTAACAATACGAGTAGAATAGATACTATTTCTCAATCCTCGCGGCTGCTTTTGATCTCTGACGACGAGTCGTAAAAGATGCTTGGCAATAGGCTGATCGGTCGATACGAAGTTACTTCGTGTAACGCTTTCCAGGATTTCTGAATGTTACGAGCCGGAGGGGGCGGCTGCGTAGCCGGGGCTTAATTTCGGTATATGGTATTTGTTAATGGCTTGACCAGTGTTGTTATTAACACTGGGAGCCTAAGGAAGTAGACGTGGAGACGAACCTACGTATGGCTAACGTAGGGAGCCACAGGAAAGGTGAAGAGTGGAGGACGAACCTACGTATGGCTAACGTAGGGAGCCTCAGGAATGTGATATGCGGACGAACCTACGTATGGCTAACGTAGGGAGCCGCAGCAAACGTTAGTATTAGGTCTCGTAACTTGATTGATGTACCTCGAGCGGTAAAGGTACACCTTAGTGGGTTTCTGGATAGTAAATATAATTGAACAATAGTATGTAAGTTAAAATAATATAAGTTTATTCTCTATTCCGGGACCTTACAATTGTTGTGTGTAATTGTCGCGGTGTTCAATGAATTAAACTCTAGGTTGCAAGTTTTAAATGGTTTGAATAAATACAAATTAGTTTCGATTCCGTGAAGCAAGAATCTAATCCTTCTCGGTTTTCACGAACCCGAGCAAACGGGGGCGGATTACAACGATTAAAATAACTGTGAGTGCTTGAAAGGGACTTGAATACCCGATCTCGCAGAGTTTCCTCGTTGCAGAGATTATCCGTAAAAGAACGTACTGACGTGTAACGAACTGATTCTAGACTTCAACTAGACCCGAGGTGCCCTTGTCGCCACCCTTTTTATACTAAAAAATTAGAGTAAAAAGAGTGGTGGGGACTGACTCTACGAGACCCGTAGGACCGCGCCTTTGCTTTGTGTTGGTCTCGAATTTTCTAGAAAACGGTTGGTGTCGGGTGCACACATCCGATTCCAGATAAGGAAATTTTTTGAGAAGGGTTTGTATCACCATATAAGGAAATTTCCGAGATGGATACGTAACATGAATAAGACTACTAATTAATAATTTCCATGAAATCGGATAATGTCCTAAGCGAAGTATGGCGTTGAATATGGAAGTTATTAAGGCTATTCCTTTCTTCGGTAATTCCTTAATTCCTTAATTTCTAACTTCTGATGATCATAAAGGTTCAATTTGGAGAGACATTTGAAACGGTGATTGGAAGTATTCCAATATTTCCAATTCATCAGTGATAGATTTAGAAGGAGATGGTTTAAATACTTCAGCTAGGTGATAAGCGAACAAGTTTGCTTTATCTGTGAGACTCCTTGCTCAGCCACCTTGTGGGAGACGAAGGAGAGGTACTTCTTGCTGAGGACGTGAAAGCTGTTTGGCTGCTTTCCAAAGAGAGTAATTAGTGTCTGCTGTAGGAGATAAGTTTACTAGAAATTTTCGAAAACAATCATTTTTAAAGTTCCGAAGGATTTTTGATAAGTTTCTAGTGGCTCTATTTAGTCTCCGTTTGTCATCTAGCAGTTTGTTGTTATGCCAGATTCTTCGAAGCTTTCGTTTCTCAGCAATTCTTTTCTTTATAAACTCTGGGTAGTCGTAACGAGTTGGGTATCTAAGATTGGGGTAGAAGTCCGAACCGAATTTATTATATTGCGTGTAAGATAATCCACTGCAGCATTTATATCGTGGTTTGTTCTTAAGGGTACTGAAGCTATTGTTGAGGTATTGAATGTTTCCCGAAAATGGGCCTAGTTTGTGAGTTTGTTGTAGATGAAGGTAGGGGGTGCGTTTTCGATAATCATCGAATTAACTGTTGTGATGACAGAAGAGTGATCCGAAGACAAATTCAGGGAAGGACAAATTTGAATATATTTTGGGGTTACATTTTGCATTTTAAAGAAATCGTGTAAATCAGGCCCTTTTTTTGTATCAGATGACCAGAATGTAAACCAACTAAAACAGACATGAATGTGAATATGTTCAAAGAATGAAAATCGAGAGCCATTTTGAAATGTTCCAGAAGAAATATAATACATTTTTTCTGTCGATGTTAAAAGAGGTATTCGGATGCTCGCTTATTACACACGGGTTAATAAAATTATAGGTATTAATAGTTTCGTCAATAAGTTGATGATTTGATTTGTAATGACCTAATATGTACCAATAAAGATATTAATTATGAATTAATAAAACAATAATATAATTAATTAATCGCAATAAGTATTTTATCTCTGTCACCTGCATCGTCAAATTTCTTGGCGTAGACTTCGATGTTTGCCGAAGGAAATCAAGGACGTCTCGAGCAGTGGATCCTTTTCGTTCGCAGAGATGCACCACAGCATCGAGAACACGATTGATTAGTCGTGGTTTTGACGCGTGTACCATGTTGATCCAGTATGGAACTTAAATTGCTGGTGACTACGAAGCTCTAATAACTGCGTACAACCGATAAAAACAAAATTAAAATATTAATGTATGTGTATAGTGTAAAGTTTTTATGCGAAGAAAGAATAATGTTTCGATGAAATATTAGTGTTCGTTTATTTGCAAAGAAAGCATGAATTGCAAAAAGTTAAATGGTATATAAGAAAACAACAATAGATACAGATTCGAATAAAATTCTTTTTATTTATAAAACAATCTGTAAAACAATATTAGGTAATAAAGTAAAAAATATACATAAAACATTTTTGATGAAAATGAAATATAGATGTATGATAAACGCAAAGTAAGTGTACAGCTATGAAAAATAAACAAATTTCAGAAATTAAACATTTTGTCATAATGTTATAGTAGCAGTCGATGTTCTTATTCTGAAGTATCGAAAAAAGGGAAACCGGTTTTGTTAAAATAAAGATAGACTTAAAGATTAGGATAAACAGAATTTTTATATAATAACTTTGTGAATGATATTTGAAAAATATAGTTAAATAACCTGCGTATTTTACAATCTTTGAATTATGAAAAATTTGTAGAGCAACACTTTCGCAAATACACTGAAAATGATGTTTAAGAAAGTACATAAGAAGTCTATTGAAATTTAAAATAAAAATCTAAAATTAATACATATGCTCACTAGGTACTATAATTTGTCAGTATTACGTAATAAGGTACCTGCTAAGAGTTTTATGCAATATAAATATTGGGAGACAGGTATTTCTTCATCGCTGAAGAACAATTATACCGAAGAGAAACGAAAATTACTTTATAAATGAAGGACGATATGCACATAAAAATGTCTCCAAACGGCAAATTTAATTATAATATTTTGAATTTTACTGGAATCAACAGTAAACTGGTATGTAATACAATTCGTTGCTTAGCATTCTTCTTATTCTGTTTTTATTAACCTTGATTTATAATGTGACGTTAGTAATTTCACTGCATTTTTATCATTTCTTTGGAATATTACAAATTTATTGTAACTGTTAACAATAATTGTAATGAAATTTCGAGAAAATAGATGTTAACTGTGACTGAAGCAGACGAATTTATTATTTGAAGTTGGTACAAAACGTGCCAGGAAAGTATAAAAACCAAATGTGACGTAAATTTGGAGCAAAACGCAGAAAACGTGGATGCTTGAGAGTGAAGTGTGTCAACGTGATTTTCACTTTTTCAGCTGAAATACGATGTCTTCGAAGTAGTGCATCTTCAAACTCTGAGAGTCTCTATGTCTGTACTTTTGCGGACAGTCTCCGTGAATTAAAACTAACAGTCCGCTTATTGCGAGCATTTATCATGCTTGAGAGATGTATAAAAATGAATGTAACATTCCTTTACAGACTGTTTAGTATAACTCGTTTTCACTGCTTTTATCTACAGAATATATCCCTATATTTTGTCGAGAAAATCTGGAAGTTAAACTTTGTAAAGCGAAGTTTACAATAAACGGATCTATTAGTGAGCAAAAATTTGTTAAAATTTGTATATTTTATACACTCCGCAAAACAATTAAGGGATCACCTCTACGAACCCGAAAAATAGGACGAGATTCGGATGGTTATAAATTTGAGAAAAATGGTCGAATCGATATCGCGGAAAGATTATTTGAAGCTGTGAAATCTCTATTTTCAAATCCTCTTTTAAGATTTTAGCTATGTTGAATTTTATAAAAGTTATAGTGATATAAGTAGCCAGATAGCACAGAAACATTTCATGTATGTCCATCGAACGTCCATGCTGGCCGTTTCGTACATACGAAGAATGTCCCGTTAACATCCATATGTCCCCTATATATCCTGGTTATGTCCTTTAAAGATCCTAGGAAGGTGCCTGTTAAAAAGTAGAACGTCCAGGGGATGTCCTGTGCGCACATTCTCAGGATGTTTTCTGAACGTCCTAAAGTAACATTCTCTGTACGTTGTCTGAACGTTTACAAAACTTTGCAGAACGTTATACTAACGTCTTGAAAGGCGTACAAGGAACGTATTCGGAACGTCCGAAAGTAACATTCTTTGTACGTTGTGTGAACGTTTACAAAACTTTGCAGAACGCTATGCTAACGTTTTGAAAGCCATATAAGGAATGTTTTTCGAGCATTTAAAATTATAAAACGTTTTCTGTACTTTTTTTTATAATCTTTATTTTTATTACATATCTATTATTTATTTTATTATTTCTACTAAAAATCTTTTACAATGATCTTGTTGCGTTCCGCAGCTCTCCTTAGCCAAGACGGTATGGACACCTCCGTTTCTTTCTTATCTTTGCACACTTTTGATGTTTGTGCTGCGTCTAAATAACAGAAATTCAGTTGAATAATATATTCAATTCGATACAAATAAATATAAAAAATAATATATGATGGATACCGACTATACGTTTTTCATATATATATATATATATATACATAGAATTGTACGCACAACCATTTCATAAAGAAGAATAAGAAATCGGTATGCATCGTATACGAATAACATATGTGTTGTCGTCTCAAAGAAGGCATTATTACCTATTATTAAGAAAAATTAAGAAAAATTAAGGAATTAAGTTAATTAAGAAAAAAGTGACACTTACCTGAGATGGCAGAAAAACTCGTCAACACACTATAAACACCAGTAAGGAATACTAATATTCACTCGTAATATGACGATCGTCAACGCTTGAAATTCACACTCAAAGTGTATGGAGACTCGCTATACGTCTTGTCGCAACAGCGTTTCACGAAAAAGTGTCGATGGTGGCTCGTCATATTCTCAAGTTGGGAATTCCGCCAATCGTTTGTCAGCGCCCGGGATCTGTTTTCTGTTTAGGCCTTGTCATAAAACAGCAGGCCCCAAACTTCGGTCGTTCTCGCCGCGCGGGTGACGTACGGGTCATTCTACCCTATTTTGGACATACGTCTCATCTATGTCCGTAGGACCTTCAAGACGGACGTTCCTAGGACATACGAAATATACGTCTTGTGGACATCCCAAGGATGTTCAAAATGAACGTTGGACGTTCGGACATAATCTGGACATGAAACGGACGTCCCTGGGATGTACGGTGCTATCTGGGTAGCATTTCGAAAATTTTTTAAAATTTTGTTCACCTTTGTAACGTTGCATGGCACTAACAAAATTTTTTTAGCAAGTTGCATTTGTATGTACTTACAGGGTAATCTTCAAATCTACTGCTTCGATTTTGATCCGATTTTTTTAGATGTGTTCCTTATAACCTTGCGAAGGACATAAGCTCAGTTTTATTACGCTGTTGCATCGGGAAATGTATAAAATATTGTTTATTTCGTTTGTGTAAATTGTAGCGCAGAACAGTTCAGCAGGACTGCTAATCCCCACCGCTGCAATGTTGACATAGTACATAGTGGATATACCGTCGTACCTCAGGGGTGGGGATGGATGGCGACGCTGTCGGTGCTGCTTCCCGCATTCAGCATTCATTTTTTATGATTGAAAATCACTTACAGATCGGTCAGTACACGTAGTGTTTGGCAAAATGTCACAGTCACAGTCACAGTCACACTTGTTGAATGTTGCCAACCGTTGCCAACCAAACTGAACATTCGCTTGGCGCGATATGATCGGTCAGTACGAGCAAAATATTAATATATTATATTAATTAATATACTAATATATTATATATATATAATATATATATAATATACTAATATATTAATAATATAAATATTAATATACTATATTAATAGTATAATATAGATATATACTATAGATAGTATATTAATATATTCATGTATGATAACATGATTAAAAAGTATCAATACTCGTTTAAATATTTATTTCTTAGGTAACTTAAGTTACATTGTTTAACAAATTTAACATTATTTTTCCGTTTCCATGTTAATAAATAAAAAAATAAAATTTTTATTCGTAAAATGATTTTCAATCCCTTGATTCTTACGTTCATCGTGAAATCTGTAAATTTTTTTCTCATACACTGACAGACAAAATACCACCCAGGCAGCGCCGGGTAACATAGCTAGTTTTATATAAATGCAACTTTGAACGTAGTGGCCATGGGTAAACGATTATCACAGTGCATTCGCTCGGGGCTCAATCGAATCGGTAAATTCTCTGTTTTAAAATGATCTGAAGACCATGATACTACGACTATCTTTTGCGAGATACAGCGAGTTAACCCTTTGACTGCTATGGACGCACATATGCGTCCGATGAAAGTTATCGGTGCAGACTATGGACGCAGATATGCGTTTCTTATATATCCTAATCATAATGAAATAAAAGTTATCAACGCATATTATTAATTACACGTCATATGTTATAACATTATAATGATACGACAAAACACTGAAAAAGAAAAACAAATGAAAGAATAAACTGAGAAATGAAATGGAATAAAAAGAAAAGTGATAAGTGTTATTGACTTGATTCTTATTTTGTACACACAGAACGTTCAAGCTTATCGTTACAGTGCTCAGCAGTCAAAGGATTAAAGATAAAATGGTAATTGTGCGGTTTTGAAACATCTCGCTAAAAAGACCTGGTACATCAAAATATTCAACAAAATGAAAAAGCAAGAGACGCATCTTAAAAAGAAAAATCTGCTCTTTCTACTACTCCTTTACCGAATGATCTACGATGATTTGATCGCTTTCTAGGAGCGGTTAAAGTCAAAAGGACGACCTTCACTTCAAAAATAAATAACTCAGCCAAAAAAAATCGTACAACTACCAACAAATACTGATTTTACGTAGAAAGGTAGTCGCTTTCGAATGGTATAAATGCAACTTGCTAAAAAAATTTTGTTAGTGCCATGCAACGTTACAAAGTTGAACAAAATTTTAAAAAATTTTCGAAGTGCTACTTATATCACTATAACATTTATAAATGTCAACGTAGCTAAAATCTTAAAAGAGGATTTGAAAATAAAGATTTCACAGCACCAAATGATCTTTCCGCGATATCGATTCGACCATTTTTCTCAAAGTTATAACCATCTGAATCTCGTCCTATTTTTCGGGTTCGTAGAGGTGATCCCTTAATTGTTTTGCGGAGTGTATTACTGTACTTGCTAATATACTTTTACTAAAACTGAAATATAAAACAGTAACATTTCTCGGCTGTGTTTCCGAATGGCCCCACCAAGATTGAGAACTCAGGTTCTGTATACAGTATAGACTCGTTATAAGCTAAAAAGATCTGTACGATATTTGCAAAGAAACCATCCCCACCACTGGGGGGTATACCCCTCGAGACGTCGCGAAGCTCGCTCGCCGAGTAGCGTAACATGATCTTGGATCAGATATCGGTGAGGCAACACTAATGCAACAATCTAACTTTGCTATTTTTCATTTTTTTTTATAGAACTTTTTCCATGATATTTCTGACATTTTTCTAATTAAAATGATACCAAACACGATATAATTCGGACCATATTTACCATGTAAACTAGTTACAACCAAACGCACGGGACCGGACTTTTGCCTATAACGTGTAGTTCCACTATTGTTTGATGTTAGCCGACTGCTTCGAACGTAGAAAAGGACCTTGAGTGCAAAAGAGGACGGAGCGAAAACAAACCGTTCTATGTCGAAGCAGTCGGCTAACATTAAACAATAGTGGAACTACACGTTATAAGCAAAAGTCCGGTCCCGAGCGTTTTGCTTATAACGAGTCTATACTGTATAACCTAAATTGACTACAAGAAACCAATTAAAGTTGGTGTCAGAGCTGGATGTCTTACCGTTTTTGAGATATCGTGGTAAGATTAAGTTAGGTTCTATGTATGCGCAGTATCGAATAGTATATGTTTAGTATCGAATAGCGCATGCGCAGTATTGAATAGCACATGCTCAGTATCGAATAGCGCATGCGTAGTCCCAAAATTGTACAAAAATTTCTTATCACGATATCTCAAAAACGGTAAGACATCCAGCTCTGAAATCAATTTTAATCGGTTTCTGGTAGTCAATTTAGGTTATATACCTGAGTTCTCAATTTTGATGGGGCCATTCGGAAACTTATCTCATTTCTCTAATCTTTCTTGTGAAAATATTTCGAAGATTCTTCTCGAAATGTTTACTTCAATTCCAAAGATACTGTAAAACGATTGCGATTAATGAAAAGCCAGCACCTGAATGAAAAGCAAGCTGATTATCAATCAACACCGCGTGGTCGGTGAAATTGCAAGTTAAACGTATCCTCGAAAACACCTTTCTCGTTGCTTTGGTTTCGTGTAAACGTTTGCACGACGAAGCAGGTATTTGATGGTCGGTTTGTTTGCTAGAATTGTGGTGACTGTTCGTTTCCCAACATCAACGAGGACGTTAGAAAACGTTGTTTTGTGTCCCGTTTAGCTTTCAAAGGACAAGGACTGTTTCTTCCTTCTTCCTCGTCTTCACAAAAAGACGGCTACTGTACCAAACGAATTAGTTCGTTAATTCAATTGCTTTCTGTAGCCGTCAATTAGCTGCGCCCTAGCTGTCCATATAATTGCGGTTACAAAATGGTATTAATTATCGTCGATTGGCTACGTAATCGAAGCGTTCGCGTTTCTGAATGCACTTACTCGAGTGTAATGTGGAATAATCGTTGAGCAGACGTTATTAAAGGACAATTTTATGACTTGGTAGGGAGCAGAGACTGTTCGATTGCATTATGCTGATGTAATTTACAATGAGTACGTACTGATGATTATAAAGAAATTTTTGGGGAGATAATGAAAATGATTCAATACATAATTATTATGACGAATGGAAATTTGAATTGTAAATTCACAATAGGTAAAACATTTCGGTCGTTAATGAGGCTTTTTATTCTTATGAAAAATTGTACATTAATGTCAAATCAGGAGAAACTGGAGAAAAGCCTGAGAGTCATACTTTTAGAATTATTTAAACAAAACATTTATACAGGATGTCTATTTATGCCTTGTAGAGGGAGTTCCTCTAGTGCCGAACACTTAAAGTTTTTCTTAAATAAATAAAACAAATATAGATTTATTTTTACTTTTTTTTACATTAATTACCAGTTAATACTAATAGATATCAACATATAGTATCAAAACAAGTAACATTATTATAATACTTAATTTAAATTAACATTAATTAACCGACTTCAAAGAAGGAGGAGGTTACTCAATTTGATCAGGGTTTTTTTTTTAATGAACAAAACCTTTTACATTTTGTAGAGTATGTCTCCCGATTGGTTCTATGAAAAAAACATTTTGCATTTTTTAATTGCTAATGACTTTTATTGTAAAGAACATAATGCTTAATTTATATTTTTCGGCATTTACTCTGCAAGGAATGTACCGATCGTAATGAAACCGTTCACATTTAGTAGGAGATATATCCGCGATAATCCCACTTGCAAAAATTTATGAAATTTGTTATTTATAAACCATCTACATTCGATCAATATATTTTTTTTGGTTTATGGTTATTAGCTAATCAATAAAAACGCAAAAACACCTTACGGAATCCTACAAATACTGCTCGTTTTACTAAAAAATATGAAATAAAATGATTTTTAACAAAAAATACAACCGACTTTGAGATGCGCTATAAAGTGTAAAACAATTTATATTTCGTTTACACAATTATGTGACAATTATTAATGAAACCTCTTGCTACATTAACAAAATGCATTAAAAAGTATAAAATAATTTCTATTTCATTTATACCAATACTCTACAGTTATTAATAAAACCTATTTAATCGTTAAAAGGTATACTAAATACATTTCAACCTTGTTGGAGAAGGCGCAAAATTAAAAATATCCGAATAAATGATGTTACCAATAACGATTTGATTGCGGTATGGAGAAACTAGGTAATTAATAAGTCGCAAAAACATTTGTAATTGTAACGATTACCTATATCAGAAATTGGCAGCACTTCTGATGTACATATGTACATGTAGTTAATTGAGTATGTTGATTCCCGTTTGAATATTGTTTACTTGAAGTTATCAAATGAGTCATTTGTCATAGATTGCCGAAGCCTGAACTAGGATCTTTCTAGTAGAAGAAAAGCTTTTAATTTTGCGCCGCCTCCGAAAAGGTTGAAATGTATTTAGTATACTATTTAACGATTAAATAGGTTTTATTAATAGTTGGAGTAATAGGTGGAGTGATGGTATAAATGAAATAAAAATTATTTTATACTTTTTAGCGCATTTCGTTAATGCAGTAAAAAATTTTATTAATAATTGTCACATAATTGTATAAACGAAATATAAATTATTTTACACTTTTTAGTGCATCTCAAAGTCGGTTGTATTTTTTGTTAAAAATTTTATTTAGGTTACTGATTTTAATGAAATGTGGAGTAGCACGTAATATCAGACACAGCAAACATCTTTAAATTATAGCATGATAATTTTAAAACAACTTACAACGATTACCGACATAATCATCAGAACACTCAGATATGTCGGCAAAAGCTTCGTGAGCCCATTCTTGGCCCTTTGAGCATTGTATCCAGTCCTTATTTTTCTTGTCATGACTTTGATGCAGTTCTTAAATCCTCTTCATTTCACAAACTTCGCTTTTTAATATCCATGTCGTTGTTCAGGTATATAGTATACAGGGTGTTCGACAACCGATGGGAGATTCTTTAAGGGGTAATTCTAGGGATCAAAATAAGACGAAAATTAAAAATGACGAAATTGCTTTCCAGTAATTAACGTTTAAAAATTCGAGTAAAAAGCGCCTGGAACTTGCAACCTGCCCAGCACCGACGATTGAACGTCAGGTTAGCAGGGGTAGGTACAGTCATAACCAAGAAGAGAAAGCCGAATGCTGCAGTACCGAGAAACAGAATTTTACTATTCAATGATTCTTGGTTATGACTGCACCCACCCCTGCTAATCTGACGTTCAGTCGTCGGTGCTGGGCAGATGGCAGGTTTTAGGCGCTTTCTACTCGAGTTTTTAAACGTTAATTACCGGAAAACAAAGCCGCAAACGCTATTCCGACATTTTTGATTTTCATCTTATTTTGATCCCTAGAATCACCTCTTAAAAAATCTTCCACCTGTTGTCGAACACCCTGTAGATAGCACAGAGTGGATCGAAATACCATTCAGGCACCATTTATAACAGAATACCTTTTTTAAATTGGACTAATGACGAAGTTTTTTGACAAGCTATAAAAATTAATTTACTAAATGATAATTTTTGTTGCTTTAAAATATAACTGTGTTGGAATCGAGAAAGAAAAAAATAGTAAAGGTACCTTTTGTAACCTTTTTTGAAAATTTAAAATATACGTTTTGTAGATTTAAGTAAGTTATAAGTATGCATGCTGAAAATTTCATCGAAATCGATCAACGCACTTAAAAAGTACAAACAATTAAAACTAGCGAAAATGAAAATTAGCCTTTCGCTTAAGAATATTTTGTTTTAAACAGTATCTGGATACTTTTTCGACCCACTGTAGATGCATGAGGAGCGAATCGCGTGTATACAAATATTATTGGATAAACAATCAGTTAACTCGGTACGACAAATCACTGCTTCTCCGAAATGCCCACCGAACAAATATTGCTTTTTCTTTCATTACTACATGCATCAAAGAAGCCAAATTCATTTCTTTTTTCTTATTTTTAATGAAACCACTTATTCACCAAACTGTTTCCCCAAACTTGTTATCAGTGAATATCTACGTACCTACTAAAAAATGATTAAAATGTTTTTTGTTTAAACTTTATCGTACGTAGGAACCTTTTAGATTATGTGAACAAAGAAAATTAAATTTGAACAAAGAACCTAATTTTTGTAATGAAATATGCAGTACGTTTTTATATATTCACGCAGCTCTTATTAAAGTAATCTTTACTTGAAATATTTTTCAAAATGTTTACACTAAAATAAATCGTTTCGCATTTTGCAACTTACGGCTTCGTTTTCGAAATATAAACAACTGATAAGTGGAAAAGCGACTTTCGACACGCACATTTCGAACAGATCACGGCCAAACTCTAACATCATGTTATCCTAAATCAGTATTTAGACAGAGGAGCACGTAAAAAAAACGTTGAGGCATGCGTACTGTAAGCGCCTATCAAGGAAAGAAGTTTTCATTTTTCAATAACGTATTTTAATTAACAAAAGAGGCGTCGCGTATAATATTGTTGCGACGGTGAGAAGTTTCCGCTGTTTCGACGCATCGACCGCTTCTTGATGTATCGAAAGAGCCATCGACTGCCCTGCCCGAAGCTGTCGACGAATCATGATGAGAAGCTATTCCTTGTTTCGAGCGGAAACACGTCACCGGATGCTTGAGGTCCCTTAGACAACCGCGCGTCTTTTGAATATCACTATGTATCGGGAAACCGACCTGTACGGACCTATTGCTTAAAACTCCTGTGTAACTGAAATATAGACAGTCTAGTCTGCTTCGTGTTTATTTATTTGACTATGGAATGTGCGAGCTCCACTCCCCGGCGCAACAATATAAAAAGAGGAATGGGGCAACCCCTCGTGTTCGCGCACTCCCACGCAAGCCAGATATATGATCTATATTTCGACAATACCGAACAGCCCCTTGTTCGGTCAAATGCTCTGGATTTTCGGAATCAAGCAGTCCTTCGCTGACTCTCTCTTACCACGTAACACGTCTTACTGCCGCTGTGTCAACGCTCGCGGGAACAATTCTCGATATGACACCTTGCGGCCGTCATCGGCAAATCATGCGCTTACAGTACTTACAATTAGTCCTCTAATGACGCAAGACCAACGTTGACCATAGTTATTTTCAAAACTCTGACGATGAATGAGCGGAATTTCTTTTACTGAATATTGTTAGAGATTCATTCACGACAAATGATTAGACACTGTAATTGATTGCTTATGTAGAAATTTTGCTCATTGTGAAGTTTTTCATTTCAAGGACATTGTTGGTTACTTCAGCCGAAATCGGGATAAAGAATGCTTGGTAAAATCTCTTTATTCAATATTTAGAGTTCCGTTATAATTTAAAAATCTGTGTAAAGAATAATGAAAACAACTAGAATTAATTTATAAAAATGAAAAATGTAACGGAAGATTGATACGATTCCGGGATTCATTTCTCTATCCTCTATCTCGGTCAATTCTCCTATCATCAGTATACTATTCATCGACTCGTTAGCGGAGTGCCAGCGTGAGTTTTTTTCTTTTCTTCTTTTTTTACTCTCTGCACACATCACGTTTGCCGTGCAATTAAGCCTGAATAATTTCGAATTTTATTTTCAATCATCAATGTGAATCGCGATCGACGACACACACAGTGAAGCTTTATATTAAAATTGTATTTCGAATAATGCTGTCGCAATTGTTGAAACTCGCTTGATTGAAAAATACCTCCTCCTTCCTTTTACACGTGAATAGTTGCCATAATATAGAAGCACATTCTTTTAATATAATAATTGCGTTTCTTATACGAAGAATTTATACAGATGCAGTATGTTTTTAATGGAAGAAGATCTATGTCAAAATACACTTTATAAAATCTTAACAGAAAAATTGTTAATGTCTTTAATTTTAGTAGAAGTTCTTTATAATATTCACTGCTTTTTTTTAAATTTCAGTTGTAATAGTGAAGGGTATCTATACACTGGATGTTTTAAAAGAATTGATGAATGGATTAGGACAGTACTGTGAGCGAGGATTAGTCTCAAGACATCATGAAGCAGCGAGTCTTACTGACTCTTGTCAATTTGATCACCTCCTATACATCTTTTCTGTAAGTATGAACTATTTTTTTAGATAAAAACTTGATAAAAAAATAAGAAAAACCTCTAACATAATGCTAAACACAAGTAGGTTATACAAGATGTGAACATAATTAGACCAAATTACACAGAGCAAAAATAATGGCCAAAATTCAAGCTGTCGTTGAAATGATGAAACTAAAACTTTATATGTACTTAGGTACTTATATAGGGCTTTTGGGGCTAGTTATTCCAAATCTGATGTCAAAATTGAAAAATTCAAGATGATGGACCCAATTTTAAAAATTAACAGGAAAGAAAAATGCCTTTGTGTAAGAGCGAACGAATACTTAAAGGGAGTGGGTATTTTTTGACGTCAAAAAATTCCTTTTTTATTATGTACTTCAGTAATTGAAAATATTTTGGTAATTATTTAGATTACGGACGGTAACTCCGATTTCGATGATTTTTGAATATGTTGTAGAAATCAACATTTTGAACAACTTTTTCTTATACATATAACCGCCGCTCGGCCTTAGTTTTCGAGATATTTTCGAAAAACTGTCGAAACTAACACATTGAATTCTGGCCATCCATTTGCGTCCGTGACAACGTACGCATTAGTATGGGATTGCCGCTTTTCTACTGTTTCTGCAGGCAACAGCACGGCGACCGATGACCAATATATGCCTTGTGTACTTCTGCATTCATGATTTCAATGTATCGTAGCTATGATGGCAGCTGGGAACCTAACCCAATCTACTCTACCTAATCAGTGAATTAAGCTAGGTTAGAATAAAGTGATATTCTGATCGCCTAACGGTGACCAGACACACATACTGAGATTCAAAATCATGAAAATTAGTTAAATTTAATTCTTAAGCCCACCTGTTATATATGAATATATATATTGGTCTCGGTCACCGTGCTGCTGCCTGCAAAAACAATAGAAAAGCGGCGATCGCACACTGACGCGTAAGAAGTACACGGACGCACACGACAGGCAGAATTCAATGCATTAGTTTCGACAGTTTTTCGAAAATATCTCGAAAACTAACGCCGAGCGGCGGTTATATGTATAGGAAAAAGTTGTTCAAAATGTTGGTTTCTACAACATATTCAAAAATCATCGAAATCGGAGTTACCGTCCGTAATCTAAATAATTACCAATATTTTATATTTATACATATTTAATCCATAATTAAAACAATTTTTCATAACTAGGGGGTCCTAAAATTATGTCGAGTCACAACACTATTATAAAACAATCTCACATCATAGGATAGGTTGTCCTCTTCGTTTTCTTCAAATTCTTCGCAGATATGAAGTATTTGTACTCTTCAAAACGGGGTGTCGTCTCGCTAACTGTATTGCCAATCGGTGCCTGTCTCATCTTTTGAGGAATGCCGATTGGCTCTTCATGATCAACTCCTCCACGGCCGACGCACCCCTCGAGGTTCTCTTCGTTGATAGTCTTGTCAACGCTGGTCAGTCTTGTTTAGAATTCCTCGCGAACCACTACGGTTCATTCGGCGGCCTTCGTCTTTAGGAATTCTCGGGAATATCAGTTCACTCACAAGCAACCGTCTTTTGACTCGTGGTAGACGCTTGTTCCACCACTCCATCCTTAAATACTTAGAACGGGGTGCTTCGGTCGGTTTGACCCATTCAATTGTCAAAGGGTCCCGTCGTGAGCAAAAGCTCAAAACACAGAGCTATTTTTATGTAAGCTATATTGAATTCAATCAAGATCAAGAATTACAATCAAAGTGAGCAATTACTCAAAATAAAAAAAAATCACGATCGCGGTCGTAAATAAAATTGAATCACGGTTATGATCATGATTTTGCGATCACAGTGATAAATCACTGTTGGTGATTTTGCACACCATCGTTATTTTTTCTTCGTGTAGGTGCCGGTGGTATATTGATCGTGAATCGTATTGATTTTACTAATACTGAAAGTTCAAGTTCATGGATGGCGAGAGAGAAGAACAACGTGTATATGAAAGTAAATTCTTTAATAAACATTATAGTATATAGTAAAATCACAAAATTCAAAAACTTGCATATCTAAAACGTGAAAAGTGGCACGTTTATGGGATAATCTAATAGTCATGTTATAAAATTTGTTTAAATACGAAAAACATCATTTTCTGTTTACAAGTAAATAATTAGCACACGAAGAAGCTCCATAATCTATAAGAGATATACTAGTGTCCAAATGTAAGGTGCAACCGAATTCTATTCGGTTGTATGACGTAAAGTCTTCTTTATTACGTCTCCAACTGTCGTTTTTCCTAAATTCCAAACTCGCTAACGATCGGTATTCTCTGCACCTGTCATCGACAATGCCGATTTCTCATTCTATAATTATGACACAACAATATAACGAGAGTCTGTTGTATTCTAAGAAGTATACTACAGGGTGATTTTATCGCAACGCAAACCAAAAGCGATGCCAACAGTTACTCGAGAGTCGTTCTTTTCATACGTACACACCTACACAGTTCTCTCTGCTGTTCAGACATCGTCATACAGGTCTTCGCTACGATAGACGGAATCAAATCAGCTTAAACCACCCAGTATGTAAGGGTTTAGATCAGACATTCTTAAGGGCACAGACTCCTTGTGTCATGACCTGTATTCGTGCACTCACACAATCAACGGAAAGCATGCACGTATACGCCATGTGTGAGAGAGACACTCGATTTCGTAGATTCCATTTTTCGTCTCGATAATTGCATAAATGAAATTTTCGCGGGTACAGCACACACGAGTAGACTTCGCTACAGGTCGGTCTGGTCCGCTTTAACGCTAATAAACACCATACGTTGAGAAAAATCGAATTTTCGAAACTGTACGATTGAGACAGACGCTGTTGTAAGCAAACAACATGGCTACCGAATGCTGCGTTCAGCTACATTTTAGCGAATATTAGACGATTTAATCGTTTTTTCACTGATAACAGAGCAGACCAACCTTCCTTGAACTAGCACAATATCACTGAAATTCGATTTTTCATAATTTATCACTTCTGGAAGACGTAAAATGGAATCTACGATTTGCACGCATTAGACGTAAAATAGAGGTAAGAATAGTTCACTGATTCTCCGTCAGAGGCATTGATGGTATATTTGACCACGTTATCATCAGGGTCGATAAAAACATAAATCAGTCGATAAATGTAAATTCTAATTTGACACCATAAACAGCTACGCGAATATAGCTACAAGTAAGGCATAGTTGCCGCAACGTATTAATACTTCTGTCACGTTGTTGCCACATCTGTTACAATTCTAACCATCAGCACAATGAATCAGCTCGAGAAATAGAAAAGAATAGTGCCTTCGAAAGAGAAAGAGGTCCGAGAATAAAACAATACATACACTAATATGTACAACCACAAAACTTTTTTATTCGTATTTATAATCATATTTTGTTATCAATGAAATTTCAGAGGTATGCCAGAGAAATGAATTATAAAACTTGCACATTTCGCAATATTTCGCATATTCTACATGCAAAAAGACATTAGAAGGCAATATAAATGTGCTGTTTGTGATTCATATTTATCTATCATTTACTAACGAGATTTTGATTCCTGCTGGACATAGAAAAGGAAAACGCGAACGAAAGACAAGTAGTAAAAACGAAATAATACACATAACGAACGCGACCATAAAACTTATCAGAATGAAAACTACAGGACATTAATAATTTCAAGAAAGGAATAAAAAATAAAGAGACATATAATAATTTTTAATTTTTATTTATTTATTATATTTTTCATTTATCCATCTTAAATTTCCATTTAATAAATATGGATCACGTAGGGTCGCCCGCGACCGCGACCGCCACCTCTTCTGCCGCCTCTTCGTCTGCCTCTTCCTCCACGGCCGCCACGGTATCCGCCGTACAATATCTTTTTAATAAGTTTTTTCATCTGAAATATAATAATGAATTTTAATATAATTGTACCTGCATATATATTTGATTATGTGACATTATTAAAGAACAAAAAATAATCGTGGTAATTCATTTGTTACTATTGTAGAAAGGATTTCCGTTTCACGAAAATCTAATTCTGCCACATTTATTACATAGAAAAATCAACGTTTTTACTTACTTGCGAATACGACGGCTTCTCCTTTTTCTCCTCTTTCTTTTTCTCCTCATCTTTGTTTTCTTTGTTTTCTTCTCTCTTTTCTTCTTCTTTCTTTTCTTCTTCTATCTTTTCTTCTTCTTTTATGTTCACTTCTATCTGTAAAGAAAGTAATTTATATATAAATAACCCAATATTAATGATATAATATTCTACTGGCCGATTATACGCACCTCATATTCTGACATCTTGCAGTATGATTGTCTTTTGTCGTTGATGCTGAAACCACTCGAATGGTGGTAGGGGATCAGGACCGTGTTCACTGTTTTATAAAATAGACCCTTTCCTAATTTCTAATTTTACCGATTGAAATTTTATTTTCATTTTATATTTTTTTTTATAATCTCAAATCATAATATTATAAATGAAGACAACTTCAAAACAGTTTTTTTTTTTTTAAATAAATATCAACCTCATTGTTCTTGTCTATTTTTCTATGACTTCATTTTCTTCGTGAATGCAACGATGCACCAAAAATTTGCAGATACAATTTTTATTTAAATAGAATTGCATATCTTTTTTACTCGTATCAATTCCTTGAAACATTCTGCATAAAAAAGTACTATGGTACTATTAGAACTAATAAACTGATGGGCCACGGCTCCCGAGATCAAAATTCAAGTTCTTTAACACAAGACCTGAGATTGTGTTGATATCTAATAATATGAATGTCCAAAGTAGAGGAAAAATCGAGAAAATACACCCGCAGAATCCAAGTATTTTTAGGGATATGTACATCTAATTCTAAATAAGGAAATTTAAAAAAAAAAAATAATAAAAATACAATATACACATGTATATACTAATCAAATTGAGTAATCTCCTCCTTTTTCAAAGTCGGTTAAAAATGGAAGCATAGCACTACATATGTGTATTATACTACATTTTGAAAGTATAATTATTATTTAATTATTTATATCTTTAAAAATACCAGGTATCTGTACTTAATATTTCATACCCATGATCGGAATCCTGTAGTATAATCTTACAAAAATTTACAAAAGTTTTGCCAAAATTGTCTTCAAAAGTATAGAAGCTTATGTGTACGATTTAATGATTTATTTTGTGCTGTTGGTTTCAAAATGTAGAAAGATAGGTTTTGTTATCAAAAAACATGCTATTATATACATATGTACATCATTGTGCGTTCCCATAAATTTAAACAATGAATAATAATAAAAGAGGAAGAGAAAAATTTAAATGACGTTCCAGTCATATGTGTGTGCCTTGTTTTTAACCGACTTCGAAAAAGGAGGAAGTTACTCAATTCGATCAGTACATATCTTTTTTTATTTTTTTTTTATTTTATTCTTTTTTTCTGTGTGTGTTCACCGATTACTCCGAAATGGATGGACCAATCGGAACGAAACCGTTTGCATCTTGTAGAGTATGTCTTCCGATTGGTCCCGATAAAAAAAAAATTTTTTCATTTTTTCATTGTTATTGCAAAATACAGGAAGTTTCTAATCTCAACATAGGATGATTTCAATGCTCCTTTAATATGTTGTCGGGGGCATGATTCTGAACAACTTTTTCATGATGCATAATTAACGAAAAGCTTTAGTTTCCCAGATATTTGTAAAAAACTATTGTTACTACTCCATTGAATTCTACATATGCCTACGTGTCTCTGGCGGTGTATGGGTCAGCATGCAGTCGCCGATTCTCTACTGTTTCAATACACATATCGCGTCAACCGAAAATCAGTATGCATATATAATCACTATTGTTATTGAAAAATCCTATTCTTTAGCGCTACTCTGTAAGGAATACACCGATCGCGATGAAACTTTTCACATCTCGTAGATCTTTCCACGATTATCCCATTTGCAAAAATGTATGTAACTTCTGATTGTTAATAACTATTGTTATTGCAAAAAACCTATTCTTCAGGGTTCATTTTCGCGATGAAACCTTTCGCATCTAATCGGAGATATTTTCGCGATGATCTCAATTGCAAAAATTTGTCGATTTTGTTATTGTTAATAACTATTGTTATAGCAAGTAACCTATTCGCTAGTGTTACTCTGCAAGGAATGTACTGATCGCGATGAAAGCTTTTACATCTAATATGAGGTATTTCCGCGATGAGCTCGCTTCCAAAAACGTATGGAATTTATTATTGTTAATAACTATTGTTATAGCAAAAAACCTATTTCTTGGTGTTACTCTGCAAGGAATAAACCGATCGCAATGAAACCTTTTGTTACGGGCAATGTACATATTTAACGTGGGCATGCTGTAAAATGACCGGGCATTGTGTAGAATGCCCGTTTGAAAAGCCATTGTGCAAAATGTCCGTAACAAGTTTCGGTCAGTCTATAAAATGTCCGGTCATTATACAGAATACTTACGTTAGAGGGTGGTGGTCAATGTATTGAAATGCTCTTGTTACGGTAAATGTGATTAATCTGGTGATTATATACAGGGTGGCCCATATAATTCTTAACAGCTCAATATCTCGAAAATTATGACATCGATTTTAAAGTTTTTGGTCTTAAATTGCATGGATCTGAAGAGCCTTTCTAACTATATAAACATGAAGTGGCCCCCCTTTCTTCTTTAATGGGGGGCGGGGGTACCTTTATGATTTTAAATGGAACCCCTTATAAAACGTTACATATTTAGATTTTACAGGAAAAAACAAGTAAATTTTGTCTGAAACATTTTTTTGTCAGATATTTCCATGATGAGATTATAACAGTTTGAAGTTTCGACTTGTAGATACTTACTTGAAGCGCTCGAAAATAGCGTTATTGAATTGCGTCTGTGAAATTAGCACCTCATCTTCAAAAAACAAAACTTTGAGCAACAGATCTATTTGCACCCGCAATAGTTCTATAGTTCCTGATAGGTTTCAGAAATAGTTCCGGCGAAATACCTGAAAAAATAGCATTTTGAAAATATGAGGTGCCAACTTCGCGTGGCACCGCATCATGCGAAAAATGTTATTTAAATCATCGTATTGAGAACGTTTTCATGGATAACTGAGTCAAACTCAAGAACTGTACCTACAAGTAAGTATATACAAGTCGAAACTTCAAACTGTTATAATCTCACCATGGAAATATCTGACAAAGAAATGTTTCAGACAAAATTGACTTGTTTTTTCCTGTAGAATCTAAATATGTAACGTTTTATAGGGGGTTCCATTTAAAATTATGAAGGTACCCCCGCCCCCCATTAAAGAAGAAGGGGGGGCCACTTCATGTTTATGTAGTTAAAAAGGCCCTTCAGATCCATGCAATTTAAGACCAAGAACTTTAAAATCGATATCATAGTTTTCGAGATATTGAGGTGTTAAGAGTTATGTGGGCCATCCTGTATAATTGCCGATTATTATATATAATCACTACTAAATTTGGTAAATGTGATAAATCTTATCTTATCTTATATACAGGGTGTCCCGTAACTGGTGGTACAAGTAAGTAGGGGGTGATTCTACGTGAAAAATTGAATCGAAAATGTTTTCATATGACGCTTTATTTTCGAAAAAAATAAGTTTGAAAATTTGTCGAGTACACGTGTAAATACTTGGACCAGCTTCAGCTCGACGGATTTCATTGTAGATCACCTCCATTCTTGTTCGTAAATGTTGTCAATGGATCGATGGACAGATTTCCAGAATTCGTCTAATTTATGAACTGTTGGTAGTGATGTCCACGTTGTTGCAAACATAACTGTGCTCTCCTTATTAAATTGCATCGAACGTTTTCTAATGTGTCTTTGTGCAATTTTAATTGTTGCTATAATAATTTTTTGTTTTAATTGTTCAACGCTCGTGTCTCGAGTAAATAGATTTTATTGATAGCTGTGGAATATTGGTATAAATGAAATAGAATTTATTTCATACTTTTTAGCGCATTTTGAAGTCGGTTGTATTTTTTGTTAAAAATTATTTTTCTCCTTAACAGATCGAATAGATTAAATTTTCAGTAATTTCAATAATATCTCAGCATAAGCATATGATGTATCTAAACACAAGATCGTTCTTCCCCAATTTGTTCAACGGTGCCTTAAGAACAAATCGGAAGATCGAAAGGCAAGCACAGTGTCAGCAAACAAAAGGAACCAAGGTACATATATAGGAAAACTAGGGAAATAGAGTAGGCAGCAGCAACAATGTGTCCGATCAAGCAATGTTTTCATCGTGACCTAAAAGAACAGAGAGGTATTAAAGTGCCGTTTTATTTCGGTTTAAAAACGATTCAGCCGCAATTTTCTTTGCCCACCAAAATTCCCTCGTCCCAATTTCCAGATGGTCGGTTGTGTACACTGACACCACGTGTACACACGATACTCATGTCGCGAAACATAAATGAACCAGCATCGAACACGCTACTACAAACAGAAAGAAAACCCAGAGGGAAGGGAATTGGAAGTTTGCAAACTGTCATGAATACTGATATCTAGTGGATATGTCATAACTTATAAAATATATGTACAAAGATAACAACATCTAAAAAAATATACGAAATATGCAATAAGTAGCGTGGATGTATGTACATTGAGTAGCATTGAACTTGTCGCAGTGAAGTTGGCTACAAATTCACTAACGCATTCATGCCGCGTCGGTGAGTGAATGCGTGGCTAACTTCACTGCGACAAGTTCAATGCAACTCACTGTATGTACATGGAAGTTATGAATAATTTTAAGTTTATTTTTCGATTACAATCGACGCGGGTGGCGTGAAATTTAAGATGTATACAATAAAATGAGGTTGTTGACTTTAGGACTAGGCAGATGTGCATCCTTGTCTTTTGCCCGGACACTGACTCAGGATCTGCTCATCTGTCGGCTGTTCGATAACGAAACGCGTGCTTCGAAACTTGATATTTCAATTTTCAGTTGCTTATATCTCGAAAACCAAACCGCAAATTGTGCCGACGCACTGCCATTGTTTATGACCACAGTTCGAATGAAATCAGTAGTCAACACTCTCACCGCTCAGCCTGTCCTCTACACGTGCTCTAATCGGACAGCGTTTTTCGTTAATAACTTAAAAATGAAGCTTTAATCAACATTTTGACAAAGGAAAAAGTTGTTCGGAATTACCTCAGCAACCACCCCTCCTTGGATCCTACGGCGGTTCTGAGACATCCTGTTTAACGTATACAATAAAGTGTCCTTAGCTGACCTGAATCGTGCCTGAATCGACCCACCAATTTTTGGAATTAGTTTCGAACAGTAAGCTGGGGTTACATCAATCGGTACCGCTATACTTATGGCTGGGTGGTTCGACATCAATTTCTCATTCGCACACAACAGAGAGGAAACATACGCCCAAATATACATATACCAGCGCCAGTCCTGACAATGAACCTCGGTCAGTTAGTGAGAATTTCCTGCAGGCACGTTCAGCAAGTACAGGTTACTTTAGCGTTACATCCCCCCCGCCCGTGATTACCGATCGATAAATCTGACAGTAATACAGACAACGATACCCAAAATCTAGCACTTAGGAGCACGAATAGACAACTTGCTCGAGCTTCTCTGTTTTACTATACGTACTTTACTAAAGGTAAGAATCTTGTTAATTTTATTAATGAAGTAGCTTAACTTTTTTCACGTGTTAGGTTTTTGTATGTTCCCTCTAAGCTATATATCGGACTCGACTAGTTTGCGAGATATTCGCGAAAGAACATTGTTAGGTTAGGTTAGGGAAGGGATAGCGAATGAAAACGAAAAAAAATACGGTGATCGTGACAATCGGCAAAGATCAAAAGCCTATTATATTGTTCTAAATACCAATGGGATGATAACTTTTTTATTCTTGTAGGCGTTTAGTGGAGGGAAAAGATGCTAATCTCCCCGGACGCCCTTAACTCGGGCCGGCGACCGCCAGGTGGCTGCGGGATCAGCATTGTTCTCGCTGGCGGTCGCCCAGCATGCGATTCGGATACAAGTTTCGAAAAGCGATGTTATAGGCGTCTGGAGCAGGGATCGTCTGTCGTCAGCTCCGCTAACGAGTCTGGCAGAAGATCCCGAGATGCAACGCCGTTTCTCCCCCGGCCCTCTACCCTCAAATTGTTTTTTATATAACTTTTACCAGCAAATTTGTGGAATTTTCCTGATTAAAATGAGACCAAACACGACGTAATTCAGGATATTTACATGTTATGTAGCATTATCGTATCTATTGAACTAGAAAAACGAATTGTTACCCACATTTAAAATAATTACAGTAATATGAAAGATAAGACATTTACACTTTGAATTATTTATATTTTTTGTTATAATGAAAAATGTTTTGCATCTCACTTCTGTTCTTCGAATGTTCTGTTATTTACGTGTTTAAACTTGTCTCGCCTAAAAAAGGAAGAATTTTTAACATTTTGGACACCGTTTTAAATGGTGTCCAAACATTAATGAGAATAACTACTATAGATAAGTTTCTTGAAAGAGAAAAATTTTATTTTACATTTTGGCTTACTTTCCCACACAAGAAAAAACAGAATTATCTTCTACAATGGTAGCAATAGTTACTTGATATCCTACATAAATGTGTACTATATAAATTTTTATGAAAGGAAAGCATTGTAGTTTCTTTATTGAAGATTTTATAAATGTGTTACAGAGCGGCTGCTGGTGCGAAAACGTCCACGAGGCAAAGAACGCAAAGCAACAATCACAGTAACATAAGCGAACTACTGGACAATCTGCTTCGTGGTTATGATAACAGCGTTAGACCAGACTTTGGTGGTCCACCGGCTACGGTTGAGGTCGATATCATGGTACGCAGTATGGGTCCGATTTCTGAAGTCGACATGGTTCGTACCTCGTAGTTTCTCTGTATTAAGCAACAAATTATTTATTATTTATTTTTCTTCCCTATCAGTTATTGTTATAACAGCTTAACCGCGTGTGCAGTGTCTAATCGTTCAAAGTGGGGAGATCCCCCCCAATCGGTTGAGTAATCATAAGCGTTAAAATATAGTTTTATACATGTGTTATACATTAATAGCAACAATAACTATGCATTAATAAATACAATTCATTTACTCTTTTATATTTTTACTAACAATTTCATTTGTAAATTTAGTACTTTTAGAGATGGTACGGCTAACAAAACGCTTATAATAAATGTTCAATGCGATTTACAGGATTTGTATTTGCGCGGGTATCGATCACAGTCAATACTTTACATCTGCGGGGCCTTCTCGCCCTCGGTTGGCGGGCGTATGAATCTCTCTCGACAAAGAACGTCCCGCGCCGAGCAGAATGTAATTCTCTTTTTGTTAACGATAAAGTTCATTTTCGCTAAGATAAAACTCGGAGTTCCACTTCTGTGCCCACCAACCACACCCATAATTCAACAATAAATTATTTTGTCTCCGGCAAAAAATTAGCTACGTAGTAATAGGTGTCTTAAACATCAAATTACAATATTCAGTATTAACTTAAAAAAAAATGAATGCCGAATCAGAAATATGGCATAAAATATCTTAAGTGGTGTGATTTGGACAAATAGATATAAAAGAAAGTACCCTCTTTTTTTTAAAATTAGGTTTTATCGTTTTGCAGAACGATTTTGTATAACACTGTGTCAATCAATGAAATAGCAAGTAGAACAAATTAACTGTTGCTGCATAAGTTCTCTTCACTAATAATATGCAATTACATATTTATAATATGTAAATTTATCTAATTAGAGATAACTTCCTGCGCAGACTTACTCGATGGATTGCTACTTTCGGCAATCATGGGTGGATCGACGTTTGGCATTTCAAGGCGGCAAAGAAACTTTGGCACTCAGCATATCTATGCTTGCGAAAATCTGGAAACCGGATACGTACTTTTATAACGGCAAACAGAGCTACTTACACACGATAACCAGCCCAAACAAATTTGTCAGACTCTATCAAGATGGCAGAGTACTCTACAGTTCTAGGTGTGTCACCATTTTATATAGAAATACTTATGTTACAATTGGAATAAAAGTTCCTCTCAAATGTTGACAAATTTTCACAATCAGTAGTTCACAACAATCATTGTTGTGATGGAAAAAATTACATCGTCACATTGCTTTTTTATCCGACTTCGAAAAGGAGGGGGATACTCAATTCGATTAGTATATATTTTTTTTTTCTGGCTTTGTTCGTCGATTACTCCGAGATGGATGGACCAATCGGAACGAAACCTTTTGCATCGTGTAGAGTATAACTCCCCATTGGACCTGTAAAAAAAACATTTTGCATTTTTTCATTGCCAACAATTATTATTGCAAAAAACAGAAAGTTTCTAATCTCAACATAGGTTGATTTCAATAACCCTTTAATATGTTGTCGGGGGCATGATGCTGAAGAATTTTTTTATTATGCATAATCAACTGAAAGCTTTAGTTTCCAAGGTATTCGTGAAAAACTATTATTACTACTACATTGAATTCTACGTATGCCTACGTGTATTCTACCTCCTACTCTGACGGTGTATGGGTTAGCATGCAGTCGCCTGTCTCTACTATTTCTATACACATATCGCGTCGACCAAAAACTAGTACATATACAGGTAAGTCTCGATTAATGCTAGTTCACATAGTGCGATATTCGATTTAGTGCGAATTTTAAAATGATACCAGGTCGCATTTAATGCGAACAAAAATTCAGTTAATACGAGGCTTTTCTCGATCCAGACATGGATCGAAGCATGCAAGTTAACAGAGACTTGGATAAAATACTGCGGGTTTATCATCACATATACGGAGATATGAAAAAGCAGAAGAAAGTGCAATCAACACTGTTAAAATACTTTAAAAAATAATAAACATGTTTATGCTATTATAATTTAATAATATACGTATTTTTGATCGTATATTTTCTTTAACTAAGAACCAATTCCTATATAATCGAATACTTGAAAAAGTATTCGAATAGTACGAATTCAAATAATGCGAACAATTTCTGGGATTTATTACTCGCACTAATCGAGACCTAACTGTACATCATATCATGATATATACTATTATATAAAGAGACAGTGTTTGTTTGTATGTACAGAAAAATTTCAAAAACTACTTAACCGATTGATACCAAATTTTAACAGTAGCTTTCTTGCCTTCTCTGGAATGACATAGGTTATATTATTTTAATAAAAATTATATTACATCCGCGTAAAAATACGTAAAAATATGTTGAGCGCCCTGAGCCTATGCCCGCTACTTCTTATCTACTGCTCCCAACTGCTAGGTAGCCGCGCATTCGTGCCTGCCCAAAAGAGAATTAGCAAAGTTTGCATGATATATACAAGTCCGTTTCAACTGGTAAATCGTTTATTTTCGTCTTTATAAAGAGACAGCGTTTGTTTGTATGTACAAAAAAATTTCAAAAATATTGTTGCGACGGTGAGAAGTTTCCGCTCTTTCGATGCATCGACTGCTTCTTGATGTATCGAAAGAGCCATCGACTGCTCCGTCCGAAGCTGTCAACGAATCACGATGTGAAGCTATTCCAAGTTTCGAGCGGAAACACGTCACCGGATGCTTGGGGTCTCTTAGACAACCGCGCGGCTTTTGATAATCAGAATGTTTCGGGAACCCGACCTGTACGGATCTATTGCTTAAGAACTCCTTTGTAATCGAAATATAGACAGTCTAGTTTGCTTCGTCTCTATTTATTTTACGATGGAAAGTGCTAGCTCCACTCCCCGGCGCAACAATATCATTAAAGCTACTATCTTAACAGGACCAACCCAAGCGAGATCGCCCTTTATGTACCTTGCATACCTATGATCCCCAGCGACTTACCATTCCACTTTAAACGTTTGCAAATCCCTATTAATGTTTCTTTTGCTATAACAGTAAATAAAGCGCAGGGGCAGACATTTAAATATATAGGACTCGATTTACGCTCAGATTTTTTTTCACGCGGACAATTATATGTTGGACTTTCGAGAACGAGTAATTCCAAAAACCAATTTCTTTTACTACCAAATGAAAAAAAAAAACAACAAATAATCTATACTTCTATACTCTATACTAATATATAAAGCTGTAAGCATTTTCTTTGTTCGGGGTAATCTCCAAATCTACTGCTTCGATTTTGATCCGATTTTTTTTTATGTGTTCCTTATAACCTTGCGAAGGACATAGTCTCAGTTTTATTACGCTGTTGCATCGGGAAACGTATAAAATATTGCTTATTTCGTTTGTGTAAATCGTAGCGCAGAACAGTTCAGCAGAACTGCCAATCCCCACCGCTGCTGTGTTTACATAGTAGTGGGAATACCTTCGTACCTCTACGGTGGGGATGGATGGCGACGCTGTCGGTGCTGCTTCCCGCATTCAGCATTCATCTTTTTTCTCATACACTCACAGACAAAATACCACCCGGGCAGCGCCGGGTAACACAGCTAGTGTTATATATTCTGAAGTTGTATAATATCACTTTTCAGTAAATCTAAATTCTACGCATATGATACGCGGGCGAAGCCGCGACGGGGCATGCTAGTATATGTATAATAACTATTGTTATTGCAAACTCCTATTCTTTAGCGCTACTCTGCAAGGAATGCATCGACCGCGATGAAACTTTTCACATCTCGTAGATCTTTCCACGATGACCCCATTTGCAAAAATTTATGTAACTTCTCATTGTTAATAACTATTGTTATTGCAAAAAACCTATTCTTTAGCGATACTCTGCAAGGAATGTACCGATCGCGATGAAACCTTTCACATCTAATCAGAGATATTTTCGCGATGTTCCCAATTGCAAAAATTTGTGGAATTTGTTATTGTTAATAACTATTGTTATTTTAATTATCCAATAAGAACGGTAAATCACCTTACGGCATCCTACAAATACTGCTCGTTCCACTAAAAAGTGTGAAATAAAATAATTTCTACGATACCTAAAATGCGTTTCAATTACGTTGAGAAATTGTGAACCTCGGGAATAAGTTCCTAATTCATTCTTGAACAGTCATCGGGAGTTCTTCTAGCATCTACAATAGTCTCGTTTAACATAAATGTATGTGGCAGAAGAGAATTCACGATCTGCATCGTCGTGCTTGATGAAGTGAAAAATGCTTGAGAAACGAGGCAGCGATAATAGAACTCACGATCAGATAATGCTATAAATTTTACGAGCTGTTTGTTGCTGATTGAGAACGATCGGGTAATCTTTTCTATCATTTGTTAAAGTATTATTACATTCAACTTTACTTCCTTTATCGACGAAGCTTCAGAGAAGAGATGAACAAGAATTTTTTCTTGGTAGAGTAGTACACTTTTTATGTTATGTGCAACAGAAATTTTAAGGTTGGATAAAATATTATTCATCCTCGCGGTTTTGTGTCGTTAACTTGTGTCGTTAAGTAATAATTTATTAAAATTTCACTTGTCGAGAAGATAATAAATTTGACCATTTTCTTGTCATCTTTCTTTGAAGTAGCCCAACGTCGAGGGACGATGCACTTTTTGAAGAATGATTCTTAGTAAGACCGCAGAAGTATGCACGTATAGCGCCACCTTGAGCTCAAGGGTTAATTCTGACGTGCACAATAGAGCCGATCCAGAAGACTAGGTCAAGAGAAAAGGAATGGGTTAACAAAGGGGAAATGTACATCCCTTGATTCCGCCTACTTGTTTCTCTCTGTTTCTGTTTGTTTTTCTACGAATTAAACTAAACATTTTATTTTTCATGTTCTATTGAAAATAGAGTAGACTGGTTCTAAGAGAATAGCAATTTAATGAAGTATCGTGAATAAGGTAATCAATAACTGATCGTGTATTATACGAAAAGTGATAACGGATAATTTAAGATCAGCATATTGAAAAACAACACGAATTCAGAAATAATATTTGAAAACATAGCTTTAGTTTTTGTGTACCTATTATTAATGTTACTGATTTTGCAGCTGTGTTCTTATAAGGGTATATCTGACAAGGAATGATCCCAAACCCGGAATTCAGAAAATGATGAAACCTTGCGAATATGTAGGGGATGTTCTCCTGATTAAAACGAAATTTTTTTTCTGCTGCTCATTTCCAGTCTAAGAGGGTGAAAATCGCCCTTAAAATTTCGCCCGTTATTTTTTCTTCCTTTCCAAAACCGCTAAAGGTATCTAAAAACTTCTCAAACGGAAATTGTTCGCTTAAACAATTACAAAAAGTTATAAACAAAAAAGCTTATAAACTATTGAGAAGTTCTAAAACTTGTTATGATGAAAATAGGAAATGATCTGTAACAAAAAGGAATACAATATCATATGGTAAAGCTTCCACTGTTCAATAACTGTTGGCAATGACTGTACAAGCCCCTATTAGTACTACGTTCGTACGTCGGTGTTGTACCGATTGCCGGTTTTAGGCGCTTTTCAAACAAATCTTTGAACGTTAATAATTAAAAAACATAGCCGTGAACGCGTTATCGTTATTCTTGATTTTTGTCTTATTTTGGCCCTCAGAATCATCTGCTCGAATTTGTCCTATCTGTTGTAAAACATATAAGTATACTTAAGTAAAAGTATTTAAAATTGCGAAACTTTAATTCGTTATATATATGTACATACATATATCTTCTAAACAAATGCCGTCTCCCGCAAAATGCTTGCAGAGAACTATTTAGAATAGGTATGCTTCTGTACAACATATCTAAATTGTAAGTACAAACAAAATCGGTGAGGTGTACTTTTTTCTGCAATTGTACCAATTTTGAGATTTTTCTTCGCCCTGCAAACACCAAGTGCAGCTGTCAGTGACAATTTAAACCAACGAATATCAAATACTGTTAGTCTTTAAAAAATAAAAATTAAAAAAATATAGCAATACGAAAAACAATACCATTCAATGATATTGACAAAAAAGGTTAGATATTTATTGAACTTGCAATAAATCTTTATGATATTTCTGTATACATATTCTCTTCAAATGCACTTATGGAAGAGTTTATA